ACTTTGGTTTTATAAATTATTGCCTATTATTAAATAATTGCAACACAAAATGACTTCATTTCATTCTGGCAAGATGACTCTGATAGGGTCATGTCATTCTGATAAAGTCAAAATGCTTTATCACCTGCAAGGCATTCGTGCTTTAGAAAGCTTTTGACCAGTGTTTTCCACAGCATAGGAATTCAGTTGGAAAATCTTTGGCCAACTGTGATAATCAAAAGCAAGCCTGGACCTGACTTCTAAAATCCAAATGCCTTAGCAGAGGGGAATCACTCTCTTGTTAAATGCATCACTAAATTGAACTTACTAAAGAATACATCCCACTGACAACCTCAACATGAGCCAGCGCAGCTTTCCAGAGCTCCTCTGCAGACCTGGGTTACCTCTGGCCAATAAAGCAGGTTTGCAAAATCACAGAAAATTCTCAGCTGGAAGGGACCCCAGAGATCATCTTGGCCAACCTTGTGTTGAAATCAGGGTCTTAGACGAGGTTATCCACAGCCCTGTCAAGCCAAGTCTGGAATATGTACGGCCAGGCAGATTCCACTGCTTCTCTAGGCAGCTTCTCCCAGCATCCAAGTGGTCTCACAGTGAATAAATGGTTTCTAAAATCCAGACAGAAACACCCCGAAGAAACCGCTGCCTCTTGCCCCTCGTTCTGTCTCCATGCATCCTTGTGAACAGAATGACTGCCTCCAGCTTCTCTCTCCTTCAGGAGTTTTACGGAAAATCTAGTTAACAGGAGTTATGGATAGGTAAAAGGGGATTAAAAAGATTAATTCCTTCACAAAGTCTCTTGCATTTAATCTGCTTGTAACGTTGAGAACTCATGGCGACAAAAGCTCAGAAGTACACGGAGTCATTTACAGGCACAGCAGGGCTGACAGTCTTTCCAAGCGCAAATTGTTGGAGGTGACTTATGCTTCCGTGTCACAAATGTATTACATTCACTGTGGAAAAATCAATGAAATATGGTTATAATAATTAGATCAAATTATGCAGATACAGAACTTCCTGATTACAAAATGGATGGATGACCTTTCAAAAACAAGTGTTGGTTGGATTTTTTTTTCCCTTCCATGGCTTATATTTTTTTCCTTCTATCAACAGCAACTTTTTTGCCTCATTTTTTCCGTAGAGTATGCTAAGCTACTTAAACCCAAACAAAACTAAAGCATATGAAGGTTTCTGGAAGGTTTGCTAGAACTTGTCTTCTAACAGTTCTCTACCTTCCCTTAACAATCGGACACTGATCGAGCAGCCACTCCGCACACAACTGAAATTTCCTGGACTACAGAAAGTCTCCAAAACTTGCCGTTCAGGACCTGCATGACATGGCATTCCCATCACAGACCTGGGGGCCAGGAGGAAACATTACCACCAGCTCACTTGACTGGTGGATTTTGCTCAGTGTTGAGCCGCAGGAGATCCCGTTTCCTCCAACTGGCAGAAGGTCATTGATGGCACCCATGGGTACGCTGCTCCTACCACTGACTACTTCTACCATCCAAAGGGCGTGCCCTCCCACCTTGTCTGGATGGGTCTTACTCCACCTTTCAGGCTGGATATGGAGCTTTTATGGAAGAGACCTTTGTTATAAAAAAGCATTTCACTCTAAAAGCGGTTTTTACACCTTGATCAAGACCACTCTTAACCTTCTCTTGGCTTTATTAATTAGATTGAGATCACTGAATTTTTCACTAGAAAGATGGCCTCTCGACCTCAGGGTTTTGCGGTGCTCTTCTCTCAAGGGCTACACATGAAAATTGTGAGATTTTCTACACAGCTTTGCTCATGTTACTTCCAGAAATAAAACAGTAAACTTACTTGTCTTCTGACAAATATGAAACTCAGAACACAGTTCAACTCCTGCTTTTGTAAAAGCATAACAAAACAGATATTGAATGACATGATATCAACAGAAAAAGTGACAGAACAGAATCTACATTCTTATCTGACGTATAGAACCCATGCTACTTGCTATATTACGGTAAAAATGTGGGTAAAAAAAAAAACAAAACCGGTAATATGAACTTGTTTATGGGCTTGTGCATAACAAACCCCAATTCTACATCCATATTTGCTCATCTATTATGCAAAGTTGATTTGCATTATACTTAAATGAAGGACAAGAAACAATCAGGTCCTGCAGGAAACCGATTTTACACAGAACGTAATCCTCATTATCCACATCAATATAAATTCAGTTCCTGACATAATGCTACTCATTATTGCTCCCGTCACTAGTAGCAACTTTCTTTTTAGGTGAGATAGCAATCCAAATTCCTGACCCCTTCTTCTCATGAAAGAGTCAAAGGTAGGCAGGACAATAAGGAACATATTCCCTTCAGACAAATTTCTGTGCTGGATTTTATTTTCTGCTGCCTAATTTGCTCTTGAAACTCCACACACAAGAGATGTTCTGCTTCTCCCCTAGAAACTGTGTTTGTGAAATTGTGGTCCATCTCCAAGGTGCAAATCTAAATCTTTGAGAGCTAAAATAAAAATGAACAAATGAAAAGTAAATAAACTATTTAAAACCAAACAAAGGTAATCAACTAAGTTTACATTATTTAATAGCTAGTTTCCCTCATGTTTCTGAGTGTTTACATACTTTTATTTTAAAAAGATCTCAAAGTAGATGCTTTTAAATTAATTTCAATCCAAGCAAAGCAAGATTCAAGATCTTCTGATACGCTTTAAGAGAATCTTACGACCAGACGTGTGTCATTACGAGCGTTGTGGTTTCTGTCAGACAGTAGCTACCATTGCTGCTAATAGTAATACATGTCATGGGAAAAGGGAATTATTCTTTTAGTAAAGCCAGTGGGAATTTTTTCAGTCAGATAATTCTTAGCTGGAAAACACCAGTTTTTAACAGGCACTTTTTTAGAAAGTTTCTTGGGATTGGTACAGGATTTCTGGTCAAAAGAAGAGAGAACTTTTACAGCACGTGGTGAAGACTAGGTTCAATAACGTTCTGGCTAACCTGCAACAGTCACGTTACCATAAAGTTCCCATTTCGGTCTCAAGCATTAGCTATTTTGGTATGTCTTCCTTCTGTTTTCAAGTGAAAAAAAAAAGAAACAAACCTTCGATACTCTTTCCATGATGACTGAGGTTTTCCATCTGTTACAATTATTTTAAATCTTCTACACAAATGGTCCTCCAACCTCTCTAATACGAATGAGAAACCTCGCTAATTAAAGGATACAGGCTGACTGAATAAAAAGAGAATACATTTTATGTCTATACTACGAACAGTTCAAACCATTTTCCAGCAAATAGTGTCCCACCCCACAAATACCAAAGATTTTACATATGTTTCACTCAAATAATCCGTGTTATTCATGAGCAGACATTTTATAAGACAGAGGCAAAAGTATTATTCCTGAAAGAACTGCTTTGTAATATAGGATCTAAGTTAAGGTCAAAAGGAAGAATTTCTGGATGTGTTCCATCACTCGATGTTCAGGAAACCATTTTGTATGACACAACAGATTAGGAAAAATAAGCTGCATGACATTTATTTTGTAATTTTAACATTAATATCTGTAGAAACATTTTATTGTCAGTACAAAAGTTAACAGATTTCAATTCTTCTTTTACCCAATTTAAAAAAAAGAAGAAAACAAAACAAATACCGCCACATAAAACAGTGTAATTTGCATTCATACTGCATGGCCATATCAGTGTGAGTGTTCTGAAAGTAAAAACGCAAGACTTCCGTAAAAAGATACAAACAAGAGTGATATTTCAGCAGAGGCCAGTGCTACACCTACTGTTATGGAATGGATCAGAAGGAAATATTGGAGTCAGCATGAATTAATCCCTCAAAAAGATGCTGATATTCCTATGGCAAACTGTCATTATAAACAACTTCTCTCTTTTTAACTTCAGTTACAACTGAGGGGTAGTCTAAAAGGCAAAAGATCCAGGCCAAAAGATCTGGAACCTATTATCCAACTCAGCGAAAAGAATTGTAGTTAATCTGATGCATGTGCAAGTCAGGACAGAAGCTCAGCTCCTTTTAGAGCAGTACGTTCTGCTATGGTTATAGACAAATTAATGTCTTTCCTTACTTTAGGAACCCTCTTTAATATTTTTCTTCTTTTTTTTTTATATTCTATTTCATACGTGGAATGATTCTGCTTTTTGGCCACAGGAAACACTGCGAAAGAGTTAAATTGTTAAAGTGACAGGTAGTGAGAACAAAAGACTTTCTTGTTAGAGGATTTGGTTTTGATAAGAATAATCATCTGACACTGCAGTTTTTAACACAAATAAATCAAAAGTTTAATTCCCCAAAATTAGTTATATACTGTAAATATTTCTTTTTTAAAGATCTGAAAACTAGTAAAGTCTGAACAATATATCTACTAGTTCTCTGTGCTGCCTGCATAGAAATGCCATTTAAATTACAAAAACACAACAACCCTATAAACGATTAACTGTTTTGTACATTACCAATTAGTTAATAAATTAATGATATACCATTTTCCCTGAAAGCAAAGTATTTTCCACCTTTGGATGGTGAAAATTAAGAAATTCTGTGTAAGAACAGCATTTAGCAAATAGCTGTTAAAAAAGAGACTAATTTGCTAGGTGGATTGGGACATCCATTTTTAAATCAATACAAAAAATAATTCATTGTAAATATATATAATATATATTTATACATATTTTGAATATATTTACATACATCCAGCACCTATATACTGCATTTGTGCTCTGTAAGTGTGTGCCAACATATATTTTCTCCAAATATTACAAAATAAACAAGAAAGGCAGACCCAGAGTTTGCCTCAAGTCCAACTGGTCCGTTGTACAAACAAAGTCTGTTGCAGCTTACAGGAAGCCAGAAAGTTGATAGCAATGGGTATCTAGTCACAGCTCATAAACATTCTTCTGTGTTGGGAGTATTTCAAAGTTGCAAATCACGAGATTCTTTATGTAGGATCTGACTGCTTTCCTCCAAGTTTTCTTTTTTTTTTTTCCTTTTTTTTTCCCCTTATTTAATATGTACAAGCAGAAACATTAATATCCTGGAGAAAACATTTTATTTTGTATATGGTAGGTAGCTTGATGTTCTTGCGTCCTTATTCCTCCGTACGATTTCTTTTCATGTTTTAACACTCCCATTCATGTGTTGGTACTTGGGAAGACAAGGTTCATACGGCATTGGATCAGGAGAGAAAACAGAGTCATCACCTGAAGAACACGAACTCCTCGTGTCAGGATAACTAGGTGAATACTGTTCGAGAGGTCCACTGAGGTCCAGATACTCCTACAACAAAAGACATAAACTGCATTTTTAGATGGTGAGTAAAACCAACAATAACAAAACTGGTCAATAACTGACCACTGCTTTAATTTGGCTTGGTCATCCAGCAGATAAAAGAACAGTTTAAAAACTACACTCGTTTCTGTAACACAACTGCATTCAGAACTGCCTGTTGCTTAAATTCCTCATAAAAGAAGGAGCTCTATAAACAACAGAGAAAGAAAAAGCAAGTACACGGTACTTTTCTGAAGTCCAACATCACCAGCATTAGCCGCGTCAGTGGAAATAAACATGCCAACCACATCAAAAGAGGACTTTTCACTCACAATGATAAAAATGAAATGTCTTCCTAAATAGAACCATTTTTCTTTAGCACATGGTAATGATTTGGAGAGTGAAAGATAATTCCAGCTTTCTATTCCTCTGGTCACTTTGAATTATCTGTTTTATATTCTTTGATATTAAATTGATGTTTAAACATGCAGTGGCATACGTGCAAAAAAGAACTAAAAGGAAAACAAAATTAAATTCACCAGATTTGGAGTTTTTTATAATACATATTCGTGTGTGTGCATATGTGTGTGTCCCAGAGTAGCCATGACCAAAACAGTCATTAAAAAAGGAAATAATATCTGCTGAATCCAAGTTTTGGTTTAAGGCTCTTCTGCTAGAAACAACAGTTTTGGCAAGAGAATAAAGTTACTTTTCCCCTTGAAATGTTCCTTCTCTTTCAACTTCTAAAGGCAGCTGCATTCATTTAAATGCAATCTCTTCATTTGCTAAACCACAAGTTATGATCGTACTGACAAGAGAAGTCTTCCACCTCAGTCAGTATTTTATGCTGCTGTGCTTAGGCTTGGGGTAATTTAGTTCTTCGGCTAACATGTTTTTTTAAGTCAGGCATTCAATCATTTTCATATTATAGTTAAAAAAATGGTCACCATTTTAAAAGGGAGGGGGTTGGTGGAACGTAAGTTTTAAAATGCCAACAAATGTAGCACGCAGCAAGAGCAGGCAGGTTGGAGCTATGATTACTGCCTGGGCTTTATCCACCAGGGCAATCTTGAACGTATTTATTTATTAGCAAACCAGTCCTATGTGACCAGAAACCATCAACCACTTTCTAGACAGATAGAAGAAGAAAGTGTTCCAGTACTCAAAGAAACAGGGCTTTCTCATGGGATATCAGGCATGGCTAGTCATATCAAAAGTCTTGATGCAAATGCAGTTATAAATTCAGTATTGAAGGTTGGATCCTTATCCCCTCTCCAGCCTCCTTATCCAGTGTCCAGGGCCAGAGTCACATAAGGGGCAAAAGAAGTTTCCCGTATCTGGCTGATTCCTGGTGTTGATATAACTACATAGCCATCACGCTGACTCTTGGTGACTTCTGCTCATGCAGATCAGGGAAACGTTGCACACTACTCCGTGAAACAAGGCAAATAGCATCTTTTGGGGAAAAAGAAACAACAAAAAAAACGTCCAAAAAACAAAACACCAGCAAGAAAACCCAACAGGTGATGATTCACCATTGAGAAGAGCAAGACTTTACCATTTAAGCAGAAATAGTTACTTGCACAAATGCAGAAGAAGGTATTATTGGCTGCCCCAGCAACTCTTTGAGTTGTTGGGTAAATGAGGCTGACCCCGTAGCAACAGTGTCATTCTGGGGCGAAAGGGAAAGTGTCACTGTGGAGAGGAGAAGCAGAAATATTGTCACACTGATGAATGATGGACCTGCACTGCAGGAAAACCATGCAGATCACACAAAATCAGAGGTCTCCAAGCTATGGAAGGAAGTGGGACATGCTGGAGTTCTCAGGAGACATTGAGTGAGAACATGACAAGTTTTCAGGAACGTAAAATGTGCTGCAAAGACAAGTGAAATAATTTGCTTTCTATGTTCAGGGCAAATAGGACAAAAGCAATGTCTTATGTTGAAAGACTAGAGATTAGGAAAAACTTTCAAGAAGTAAGGCTAAGGAAACAAAGCAACAGCCTGTCAAGGGGCGATGCGGAAATACAGCTGTGGAGATCTTTAAGGACAAGTTACATAAACATCTGTCAGGAATGACAAACGTATAGTGGATCCTGCCGTAGGCCGATCAGACGAACTGGATGCGTTCCTGAGCTTTTTCCAGCCATTTTTTCCTACGATTCGAGTCTAAAGTAATTTACATAACCCTAAAGGCCTTTTCAGGTTACCTTTGAGATCATTCCAGGTCCATGAGCAGTACGGAATTGGGAAGGCAAGATGGTTAAACACACACTCAAGAAAAAAGAAAGCAATATCCTTTCCCAGGCTCAGAATTGCAGCCCAGACCCTCCCTCTTGAATTTGCAAATGTGTATCCCAGTCCAAGCCACCCAGCACTCCGCTGTGGCAGCCAGCCCACCTCCAACCGGTCTTGTGAAATCGTATATAAATTAGGCAGGACAAGACGCCATCGGTACTGGGTGAGGGGAAAATGGTAACGGTACACAGAGCTGCATTTCCGACTCTGCAGGGAGCGCTGATTCCTGCCTCATCTCTGAGCCATCCCTGAAGGGGCCACTTCTTAGGGTAAACCATACAAAACAGAATCCAGATAAATTTATAGCTGCTACTGAAGTCAAGAATCTCATTCGACCTGATCTACTGGGCAAAGGATGATCATAAAAAATGGCATGTCTTTACTCAGGTTCTCCTGTCATCTCTACTGCATACAGCCTTTCCTAATGCTGCTTAAAAATCTGTTTTTTATTTCTCCAACAATCCTGAAAAATTAAAAAGTAATGTTGCGGACCAATATAAAGTGATCTAAGTCTTTGTTTTCTCCCTTTTCTCTCCCCTTATAAAGAACTGCTATAATCTTAGCAAATTTGAAGAATTTATTTTGAAATGGTCAAAACAAGTTGCTGCAACTTTCCTCTGTAGAGGTTTTGTTCTTATTTTCCCCTCTCATTGTACATATAATTTCTCAGAAATGACAGGAATTTGTAAAATGTTTCTGGGACATCAACTATTTTCTCTCAAAAGAAATTTCCACCAAAAGAATCAACATTTCCATCACTTCTGATCTTCCTCACAGGTGCGTGTGATTCAGCACTGAGAACCGATTCCTGCGTGAATACCCTAATCAGAGTGTTCCTTGCTAAAACTAATAATATCTCAGACCTCTGAAAGAATGCTCTTCAAATGAAACCTTTTTGCATTCATATATGCCAACCTGAAGCAGTGTTAGGCAGGACCTTTGGATAATTGGATGGCTGTTCGCACGTTCCCCATGGGTCCTCATTCCCTCCACAGAGAGCTATTTCAGTGAACTTAATTCACTCTCAGACATATAATCTGAAATCTACCATTGACAATTTCTCCTTTTCTGACCTAGATATCATGGCTGGGAATCAAACCGAGATGATAAATGAAAAACACCATGAACTCTACATCCCTCCTTCAGATGAAATTCATGTTGAAACGTAAACATCGCCTCTCAACCTGCCACATGTAGTCCCTCGATACTGCTATGCAAAAAACTTCAAAAGATGCAATGAGAAATAAACAAAAACACTTTAAAGACGTGTTTCTGTTTAGTTACATAAATCCAGGCATAATGGCAAGAAACCAAGGATTTCATAGGATACATAGTTTAGCTGCGTGTAACCTCATTTCTGAACCATTTGTCCTGATCAGCAGCTTATGGAGGGAAACAATTTACCTACCTCATTAGTTGTGAGAGTGAGAATCCGATCCAAGTCTTCCACCAACTGTTTAAAAGTTGGTCTCTGTGAAGGCACAGCATGCCAGCAATCTCTCATCATCATATAGCTGTAAGAAATATCCATTTTCTTGGCTTAATTAAAGTCACACATCCTTCTCGTCAACCTTTTCATACACAGTCAATGTTCTTCGTCACAAGTAAAGCAGTGAGCACACAGCCCTACACGTGGACCGCCGTCTTTCCCAAAATTGCACAAAGCTGCTTGCCCTCAAAGGTGCTTTTCTACTCCTGTATCTCTCCTGCCCAGTGTCTGAATTACCTTTTTGTGGACCTAATTCTGTAGCCTTCTGTCCCAGGAATTTCAATGCTATTAATTTACACATGCTTAAATATTTTTGCATGTTAGGGACTGCAGCCTTTGCAAAGTGAAGAAGTTAAAATGGGGGGGGGAGAAATGTAAGAGCAGTGAAGGGCTATACTGAAATAACAGAAAGAGAAAATACTCTCCCCTCATCAGCAGGAGATAATGTGGTGTTAATGCAGAAGTTCCCAAGTGTATTTTGTTGTGCACAATACCAGCCTGACATACTTTACATAGGATTAGTGATGTGTGCGCCATTTAGGAATTTTCATGTTCACAAGAGTAAAATAAAACACGTGTAAGTGTAAAAACACTGATGAAGACTGGTTTGTAGGTGACCACTTCTCTTTTCAACGGGATCACAGCAGGGTGTGTAAAGAAGTATCCTCTGCCAAACATTTCCCAACGACCTTTTCATATCTTTTCTTTACATAACTACATACACACATATCCACAGTTTTAAGATTGGGGCAACTCTGAAAATGTTTGATTCTGCTGGGGGCAACATTAACCACATGAATTGGGTATGGTTTGTGCCTGTCAATGCTGGCACAGCAAATCAGGGTCCTTACAGTTCATTGGTGCAGTTGGCAGGTTTATCCATTCGGTGCCCCTCCTTCAGCAGCTTAAAAAGTTCCTCCACTGGGATTCCTGGGTAGGGCGATCCTCCTAACGTGAAGATCTCCCACATTAACACACCAAATGACCAACTACAAATGAAAGAGAAAACTGCGTTAGGAGATCTGCCTTACTGATGAAAACAGACATGTGTCTGTGACAGATGCAACGACTGCCAGTCCCTTTCAGGAGATGCTTCAACCAGCGTCTGCTCAACTCTGAGGGCCTTGAGCGGGACACATCGGTCTGTGCAGTGCATCAGGTGAATGGGCAGCAACAGGGACTGAGCTGAGCATGTTCTCAAACACGCTCTTCACCTTTGTCTGGTGTGCTCCAAGCACCCCAGTTTCCAAGGCTACCGCAAAGAACTGCGTCTTCACAGCTTAATTATTTACAGAACGCTCACAGCGGAGCTGGTCTGCAATTACGCGGCAGGATATTGTGGAAAAAGCAGGCTGTTCAAGACAAAAATATTTTACATCATTCTGCTCTTTGACTTTTTCTAACGCATTTTTGTTTGGAAATGAAGGAGGATCTTTTTAAGCCAGTTTTCCTGCCTGCTTGCCACCTCCTCCTGAGCTTGCCTGATCACGCCTTGCTGGCAACCACGGGCTCTCTGGAAGGCAGCTTTGCCAGGTGAGCAACAGCACGCAGCTTGCGCTGGCTCCCGAGCTTCCCCGCAGCTCTCCTAGCTTTGCAGCCGTGTATTTTAGTAAACTGTTTGCACAGACTTGCAATAATATTGCCTTTAGCCGCCTTCAAAGGCACCACGGGGCCAAGAGCCTCCAAGTTCCAGCACCGAAATCCTCGTGCTCCGTGGCTGCTGAGGAGCTCCAGCTGACTTTCAGTCCTGAAGCAGTGAAGTAGTTTACTTCACATTCACTTCAATATATTTGCCAAGACCTTCTTTTAAAACAAAAGTTTGATCCACCCTTAACCTGTGTATATAGTTTCCTTTGTAAATAACATAAAGATTGCTGGAAAAGCCTCAGTAAATGCTTTTCTTAAGGAAAGAGCAGCTCGGGAAGTGCACCCCGGTCACAGAAAGAGGAGATACCTCTTACTTTCTCCACCCTGCCCTTTTACTTTTTAACCCTGCGCTGACATGCATAACCTCTTACACCTGTGCTGGGAAGCATCCAGCCCTTTACAGTTAACAGATTGTCTTGGAGAAATAAAAAACATAAGATCTTCATCTGCACTGCATAAAAATACACGTCTACTTCCAGCACAACTCACGCGAGTACCGTAGATGGGCCTAGGAAACTGTAATAGGAAGCAGAATAAATCCCGAGCGGTTGCATCAGCCAGCCACTCTGGGCAGACATTAAAAGATTCTGAAGCGTCAGAGTCCAATGATTTCCTACTACATGCGAAGTACTGCTGGGAAGCAGCACCACTTCTAAAAAATCAGAGAAAACCTTTCCAGTATATCCAGCCTATGTTTTATTATACCTAATTTTAGCAGAAAATTTTACAGGAAGTTTTCAGGAACTTTCTTTTCTTTCTTTCTTTTCCCTCTTTCTTTTTCTTGTAAAAAAAAAAACAAACCTGAAGGAAGTCCAGAGTATGTCAAAAGCCAAGCAAATTAGATAGACTCTTTGTAGCTGCACATCCGTAAATAAGTTCAAGGGGGGAAACTTCCGCACTGACAGAAGGAGGTTAGCATTTTCCACCTTTCATGTGCTTTGAAGCTGGGCAGATTAGTAACAGAGCACTGGTTAGCAGTCTACCATAAAATCCTCACTTTCTAAGGGCAAGTCCTGTTCCATCATTAATATGTGAAACAGAATGAAAACGCTTAAAGGTAAAGGCCAACAGAAAAATACATCTAAAATATCTCAAACTTTTACAAATACAAACAAAAACAGCCCTCCTTCCCACGGCCCAAAAACCCCATTCAGACAAGGCCACTTACACATCACTTTGATGCGTGTAAACTCTGTCAAACAGAGCTTCTGGAGCCATCCACTTTACTGGAAGCCGTCCCTGCAAGTTTGGAGGGGAAGGGAAGAAAAATTAAAATGGCAGCAATTTACAGGATGATTTGAACAGCAATTTTTTAAAAGGATTAATCAATCCTCAGGGTATAGACTAATGCAAACGAGAACATAACCTACCTTTAAAATTTTCAGGAAAAAAATAGTAAAATGGGCTAAAGTAGGGAGACCGTTAAGAAAAAATGGATGTAAACATTGAAGATAAAATTAAAACTACTGAGGGCACCAAAAGAGTTCCCAGACTGCTCGCTAGGAGAACGACAGTATAAGCAGATCAAAATTAAAAAGATCGTTATGGCTGTTTAAAGACAAAAAAAACCAAATCAATAATCCTCTGTAAAGCAGTCCTGACTCAAAAAATAAGTTGATCACTAAATCCAAAAATTTTGTTTTCCTCTTCCACCTTCTGAAGCGGCCCCAAGCTCACAGGGTCACAACCGCCTGTTGCTTTGCACACAACGGCTGCTGTGCTCAGCACCCAGGAATCGCACTAAATTCAGTAGGAAGAAGGTTCAGCTCCCTCCAGTACTGATGGGCCCGTACCTGGGTGCTCCGTCTTTTGAACGTAGGCAAATATTACCACTAAAATGCCATTAATCGCTTAGCGCTTTATTTTCATAGGTAAGCCACTTAACATGATTGTTAATAATAATTACTATTTATGCAAAATATTAAAGATTAGAACTGAATGAGTTCTGCAAGGTTCCCATCAAAACCCAAGTGTAGTTGGTCAGGATCTTAAGAGATGCCCCGAAAGGGAGGTATAAGCTGCTCAAACTAGGCATCAAGAACCACATCTGAAATGTTTTATCTTCTCAATTCAGTGGAGGTTGAACACCAAAATGGTGACCGAATGGGGAGTAAAAACCAATTTTCCCAATCTCTAACCCCACTTTGATTCTACCACCACAACTCATACATAACAAGCTAAGTACAGGCAAAAGGCATAAAGCTGTGTGTGGTGCTACCACACGTAGACAGGATTTTTATGATGATTATTGCTAGCACTGTTTATACAGTGTTTTTCAAGATCCTAGATTTGGTACAAAATCAGCAGCAATCAAAAGGAATATTTCCACTTATTTCAAGCGATTGGAGCCAGGGATGCACAAAAAACAATCCTTGTATTTATACATTTCTAACAAAACATACCATACACAGCCCTTTTGGTTATCTCTTTAACTGTCCCTGTAAGAGGGGACAGAAACGCTTACGTCCTTGATCCCCTTTTTCTGTCTGCGATGAAAAGTGAGGCTGCTGTACAAGAAGCCCTTTAAGTTTATAACCGTAGTTTTGAAGTGAATCATTGAAAGAAACACTTGTTTCCAGAGAGAAGAAAACCATCCACTTACATTAGTAGTCTTTTTATAATAATCTATATTGTTGATGTCTCTGGCTAAACCGAAGTCTGCTATTTTCATGACATTATTTTCAGTTACCAAAACATTTCTTGCAGCCAAGTCTCGATGGATACACTGGAAAGAAAAGGAAAAAAAAGGCCCACTGAAATAAACTGCTGTAAAAGTGAAATTACTTCTACACCGTACCTAAGTCTCCTTTGCATATTTTAACGCCAACAACAAGGTGGGAAAGCCACACGTTTACTACAAGCCTGCGAAATACGGTTGTCTTCATGACTGCAATCCATCCCCTCAGCCGGCGTTTCCAAGCTGAACGACAGCCCTAAGAAGCCTCTCAGAAAAGCCTGGTTTATTTAAGACTTCTATTTTGCTAAGGCTGACAGCTTGGGTGGTGACCCAAACCGCGCCACGCTGTGACTCACGCTCTGCTACACATGCCCAGGTACAGGTATTGCAGCACTTTCATTACAAATACTGTTAATGAGCGTTTTATTATGTCCCTGCTCTTCAGTTACATCGTCTCACCAGAGCTAAAACCTGACAGTCTGGATCCGCGCAACCATTTTCAATATAGAAGATCTTAATATAAGATATACCCACAGTAGATAATTTTAAACTAGATGTCTAGGGTGTGTGTATTTACTTCAACCATGAGACTGTAACAATGTAATTTAAAAAAAAAAAAAAGGCACACCAATCTGGGTTGGGCTGTTTGCTTTTTAAACAACTTTGATACTGACACTCAAAATGTTATCTCCTCAGAGGTTTTTCCTTCATGTCAGCATTATCCTGAATTCTTGACACGGGAAGGACTTTGTGATATTATTGCTGTGTTTGAACAGCTTTACTAGGGATGATACAAGGTGGCAGCAGGGGCATGGTAACACACATCGCATTTGGAATCCCCCCAGGATACTCTACTTCCTTTCAAGTTAAATATCCCTTCTTCTTTTCACCTCCTCAATTTTGGATTACTCTTTCTGTCACCCTTTTTATTTCAGCATGTGCATAGACATGCTGGACTGAACCACTACAAAAAAAACTGTACAACAGCCAATTTCTTTCTGGCATTATAACTTGCCCCAGCAATTTTCTGAGATCTCTTATCCCGCCTGGGTAAAATGAGCCTACAAAGCTTCTGCTCCTCACTGGGTTAGCCATGGGGAACTGCCAGGAAAAACCTGCTCCAGCAATGCCTTCATGTGCACAGGACCAGACAACAGTACATGCTTTCAGCGTCAGATCAGTCTTCTAACTCAGTGTCAGCAATGCTATGGTAGCAGAAACAACACAGGCCAGCCTTCCTGCTTCCCTGCCCCTGTTCTCAAACCCTACAAGAACAGCCTCCAAGACGCTAGGAACTCAATTTAGTTGCCTAAATAGAAGCACATACTGTCATCTGAGATGCCCTGTGATACCTAAGGTATCTTGGTAAGAATACAAGGGACGACACAGGACCCACAGCAGACCTGTGCCTTGCTGGAGCGACAGGCCAGTGGTACCGCAGAGCATCTCAGACAGCACGTAACACCTCAGGGTGAATACACCCAACGATTCAAACCCTGTTATCGTCTGTCTCTGATGGATTCACTGTCTCTTTGCAATGATCTGGGTCAGCCCTTGTGTCTGGAGCTCCCCTCTGGTTCTTGCACAGTACTGGAACAATGGAAAGGACACATCAGCAGAATTTTAAAAAGCATCCATCCAACTTAGAAACAACATCCCATTTCCAATGTACAATTGCTTGTAAGGGAAAGCGTTTTGCTAGGCAAAAAAGTAGGTGCCCAGGAATCTTCTTTATTATTTTTTTTTTCAATTGAGGTCTCAGTGAGCCATTTCTTGGATTGAAATAACAAGAACACTGTCCTTCTCATAGTTCCTGCACAATGGAAATACCGTGAGAAGACCAGCTCTCTAATTATTCCAGCTCAATAAATGGATCCCCAAGGGGAAAAGAACTAGTGAAATACACACAGAAATGGCGGGGGATCTGAAGAACCGAAGCGCGCAGTTTTACTATGTGCTGCTTTTGTTTTCCCTTTGCCTTGCGCAAAGCTTCACGTTCCGTCAAGTTCGGTGCGGCGCTGATCAAGTGTTTTTGCAAAGGAACTGGATCAAGGATGAAATGGCTCTGCTGCGTGCGTCTGTGCGAGCGCACACCTTCTTGGCAGTGTCCTACAGCAGCACTTCAGATCTTCCCAGGTGGAAGCTTGTTCTCAAGATTTGCCAATCAAAAGATTTATTTTTTTTCCTTTCACAACAGCTCTATTTTCTTGGGATGTGGTTCCTTGCCAGAAAAATGTTTCACTAATCTTAGAAAGAGATATCCTAAGGTGCTTTACCTAATACACTATTCATGCTTACTCCATTCGATTTTGTCTTGCTACCATGCATGTTGCCCTGTCTAACCTATTACACCAAGAATTACTGTTTCAAAACAAAAGCATGAAAACAAAATTAGACCTCAATTCCTCTTCTGTAAGTGCAGAAAAGCAATAAAAAACCCCATGACTGCACACAACAGGACTGGAGGTTTACACTCAGCTCTGGTCCTTGGCTAAAAACAGCTCCACACTTGGAAGTGGACACGACTGGAAATCGGTATAAATCCCACTAACCACTCCACACCTTGCAGGAAGCACTTATCATCAATATCTGCTGCTCTGGTTTAGACCTTGGGTCCAAACACCACCCAGGGTATTAGGGATCGCTCGTCCACCAAGCCACAATATGTTTACAGAGCTAGTTACGCAGGCCTATTTAAGGTTTCATAACTATAATTTAGTCAAATTACTAGTTAAAAAAAAATGTTTGACAAAAAGTTGAAGAAGTTTCTAGGGATAGAACAGGATAAATAAATTCTTTCAACAAGCTAGCTCTCCTGACAAACAGCAGTTTCAAGTAAAGGGCGGAATTTACAGTGACCAATTCACTTCTGTTTGCCTTTTCTGTCTAAAATTTTTGTCCTGGCTTCTTGTGGTATTCTCAGCTCTGCCTACATCATTCTGCAAATCCTTTCACTAGCCAAATTCATTTATTTTACATCACTACATGACCTGATTTGGTCGAATTGATGGAAACAGAAGGCGAGTGGTGCCTGCTGTCTCATGGGTGGAGTAATGTGACTTGTGTAACCAAGTGACCACCTGTGCTTATGAAATCAAAGAGCAGATACGTACGCAATATTTACTTTAAATGATCCATTCTGGGCCTCATTTTAGCATATCATTAAACAGAGATTAAAAACTTTAAGCGTATGAATTTTCCCACTGATCTCCAAGCATATGGGTTACGCAACTTGTTTGAGAAAGGTCCTTGTCCCAGCAAATTCTTGAGCACAAATGAGATGAGAACAAAAACTAAACTAAAAAAGCGCTGAACAAACATGCACCGTGTGCTTTGTGCGATATTTGCTGAGTTCTACCTACTTTTTGGGAAGCCAGGTACTCCATGCCTCTTGCCAACTGGTATGTGCACGACACTAAGTCCTTGAAGGTCATCTGCTCTTCTGGTACCCTGTTAATATCAAACGAATACTCCATCCCCGGGGGGCGGCGGGCTCGCAGGTACTCCCGCAGGTTTCCTTTGGAAGCATACTCTACTATCACGTACAATGGACCTTTGGATAAACAGAACTGTGTGAAATAGCGTTCCACAACAAACAAACTGAATCAATAAATGCTTAACTGTGAACTCAGTAAGCACAACTTGAAAGAAAAGGAGGTCCAAGGCTCCGCAGCAGGACAGTGGCAGAGCTACAGTTAGCGGCTGAAAGTACCTAAACCCTGGGCCAGCGCCTATTTCTTCCAGACCATGCCAGGTACCAAAAAGCAAGCATTTTCAATCCAAAAATGCCGTGAGATCCCAAACAAGGGGAAAGTTCTGCTGAAGTTTTTCAAATTTTCACAATTTTACGCCATTCTGCATCGCTTTACATGACACAATTAGCTTTTAATAAAAACACCGTGGTCTTTAGAGGGTAAAAGCGCTCATTTCATGTTCATGGGATACAAGTTCCACTAAAGCAAGACTGACAATTCGCCCTTTCTTATATTAAACTGCAGGTATAACGAGAGACAGAAGTTAAAATATTGCTGCTAAGCCAGGGAAATATCTAAAAATCCCATCACGGCATGACTGTTTCCTTAAAAAGTCTTGAAAAATTATGATTAATGAGACTTTTGCAGACCTGTTGGAAAGCCCTGGCTTCCTTTTTTTCTCTACTCACCATCCTGGGTACAGGCCCCAAGGAGATTGATGATATTTTTATGCTTCCCAATCATCTTCATCATCTCCATCTCTGACACCAGGTCAGACAGATCTTTTTCTGTAGCATCATCTGTACAAGACACAAGTTCAGTTCATATTTTCTAGTGTGCCACCCCGAACTCAATGAAGGCTCACGAGCTGGTGTAAAACATGCATGCTTCCAAATGCAGAACACGGGACTTGTTTGTCTAACTTACAGTATATACTGGAAAAGTCATGTGTTGTGTCCTAACAAAAAGTAGTCTCACCCTCTTTGATGGACTGACCACCTCTTCATTGCTGTATGTTAAGAGGCAACACAGTAATATCAGACACAAAAACGCTGTCCCTAGCTATCAAGCCTCCAATAACCATGCCTTTCCTGAAAACTAGCCTTACAATTAAATTTAAAATAGGCACCAACCCCCTGGACTAAACGGGCTAGGATCTACACATGGACAGCTTCTGACACGAGCTAAACTGAAAGCAGAGAGACCAACACGATGCTAATACATCTCGTGGCTCCTAAATACTCACTGCTCAAGATAAACAGGCTGTCAAGGGCACAGATTTACACCCCAGACTGCTGAAGGCTGAGGTCAGCTATGTGCTCTTTGACCCGCTCCACGATGACAGAGTTCAGATGCCACAAAAGAAACTTTTTGTGGATGAGAACTGCCACATCACTTATGCCGATCCCTAATCAGCCCATTTTCTTACCTTTCAACATCTTCACTGCCACAGTCACCGCTTCTTTCGGCCTGTCTTTGTCAATCCCCACCGCTTCGGCCATGACGACTTGCCCAAAGCAACCTTCTCCCAGGGGTTTACCCAGCGTCAGCCTGGAGGTGTAAACAGGAGATTAACACGCGGCATCTGGTGAAGGGATGCAGCCAGTCAAATTCCAGGGCTAAATATAAAAAGCTTTCAACAACTTGCTGGAGCATGGAGCATTTATCATATGGAACTAATGAGACTCTGAGTGCGCATCGGTTTTCGTGCGCTCTGCAGTATATTTTCTTAGGGATGGTACAGTGAGCATCTCATACGGGCAGACCAGTTGCTAAACCCAGCTTTGAAGCTCCCCCTCTGCTTGTAATAAGAGGCCGTGCTCGATGGCGAGCAGCCAGACACTGCGCAGAGGGGCAGAGCTTTCAAGAAGCGGACCACGGCTGAAATTCAGGCGCAGCCAGCAACACGAAAGCTTCTCCTGGCATTGTAACAGACGGTCGTCGTCTTCTTCAATTCCACCGCGAGGAGACGAAAGAAACGTTCCTTTGTGCGTGTGGCCACGTGGTGGCTTTCAGGCAGCTGGTGATTTGTGTGTTACAGGGTGGTATTCAGAGCAGGGGGATGTTTTAAATATTATTAACCCCTGTGATCGAACATCACAGTGGAAACAGAAAGGAAAATCAAACCTGCTCTCAGGCAGCTCAAAATTCATATTCCTGCTTTTTGTTTGGGGATGCGGGCCTTGAACACCTGCCTAGTGCCCACTTGCGCAGAACGGATTAGACAGGACAGAGATAACAAGTCAGTAGACACCGTGCTTGGGTGCACCTGCGGGTAATTCTTGCACCCACTTCTCTTTCGTGTGGCTGATGAGGTGGCTGGACGGCCGCCTTCTTGTGGGAGAGAGGAGGGAGGATGAAGGAGGAGAATTGGAAAGGAAAAAGGTCGGTGACAGGCACGTGGTGAAAGCTCGGTGGGGTGGTTTCTGCTACCAGAGCCCGGGCAAAGGCGCCCGCAATGCTCGGGAGCCTTGAGCCGCTGCCAGCAGCTGCCGTGGCGGGGGGGCCCCCCCCCCCCC